ACAGTGTGCACATCTCCATCCAGTGGTTTTAAAAGACCAAAACCTCAGGCGTCAGGTCAATTTCCCATCGCGGCACAGTGGATTGAGCATCGTCCCATGGACTGAGAGGTCCTGGTTTGATTCCTCGTCAGGGCACATGCTTGGGTTTGGGGCTTGATCCCCAGTAGGGGGCATGCAGGAGGCAGCCAATTGATGTTTCTCTCTCACATCGATGTTTGTCTTTCCTTTCCTAAAAAAATCAATGAACAAACAAAAGACAAGAGCCCTCCCTATAGCTGGAGCCTTTACCAGTAAAGTCAATGAATACAAAAAAATGTGAACACCAGCCGGTGGAGGATTGAAAGGATTCCTGAGGAAGGACAATGTTTGAAAAACGCAGGTGCAAGAAAAAGCCACCGATGATCTCTCCGGGAAGAGCTGTTATCAGGGGTTCGTGTGACATTCCCAGAGGGGAAAACCCGGTTTCTCATTTCCCTCCCGATGGTTTTCCATCATCAGGAACCAGGATGCTCAGGCGGGCACAGCATGCACAGCACCTGGACAGTCGGGGAAGCTGTGTGTTGATGGAGAAAGCTGGTGCACAAACTTTCCTATGGAGAAAGCCGGGAACCAGGAGTGGGGCAAAAACGAGGAACTGAGGCCCACTGGAGAGAGGCCTTCCTCTCTCTGAAATCAATTAAAATGTAGTTTAAAAATGAGTTACTGAGGAGTCTCTTCAAGAGTAAAAGGTGACTATCAGCTCTTAAAAGGAATACAGTTTAAGACACAACTATAAAGATGCACAAGTCTAAATTTTAAAAGCTTAAAAACTATTTTTGGCATATTCCTTTTTGTAAATTTTAAAGAGAGACAACAATCTTTAAGCATCATGTTAAATTGGAAGACATTCAAATTGTACTTAACATTCTATTTTTTAAAAAGTGTTTTTATTGATTTGAAAGAGAAAGAGAACGAGCCCACAACCTGCGCATGTGCTCTGACTGGGAATCGACCAGGTGACCTTTTGGTGCACAGGACATTGCTCAACGGAGCCACATCGGCCAGGGCAACATTCTTTTTTTCTTTTTAATCCTCACCCATGGATATTTTTCTATTTACCTTCAGATAAAGTGGGAGGGAGGGAGAGAGAGGGAGAGTGAGAAACATGGATGAGACAGACACGTTGACTGGTTGCCTCCCACACGACCCAACCAGGGCCAGGGACGAACTGCAACTGAAGTATGTGCCCTTCACTGGAATCAAACCCGAGACTTTTTGGTCCGAGGGCCGACGTTCCAACCACTGAGCCAAACCGGCCAGGGAGCAACATTCTATTTTTATATTAAGTTCTATCTCAGGAGTTCTAAGGCAAAGATTTAGAGAAGATCTAGGTCACCTTGATCTTGAGTCATAGAAAAATCTGCTCAGTGTAGGGCTGTAATGAACGGCCTAGAGAATATAGTCAATCACACTGTAATCACTTTCTTGTGGTGACAGAGGTAACCAGACTTATCGTGATCACTTCATAATGTATTTGATATCAAATCACTATGTTGTACACCTGAAACTAATATAATATTGGAATTATACTTCAATTTAAAAAGAAAAGAAAATCTGTGCTAGATCGGGGAGAACTTCAGGTTCAATCACCCCTTAACTGCAGTGGAAACAGCTCTGTGAAAGGAGCCCATGGAGAAAGCCCGACTCTCCATCCTGGCCCAATTCCCTAAAGTATAAAATGCAGACCTGCAATGGCAAGCAATGAGCACTTTATATGTAGATGGTTATGTAGTTTAACACGTATTATAAAACATAGAATTAGGAGATTTCACAAATACTAATGGTCAGAATGAGTTGAAATTTGAAATAGTGCATTTCAAGTCACTTTAAAACATTAGGTGGTGATGGCTGTATGGTATTGTGAATGCACTGAATTGTCCACTTACAAACAGTTCAAGTAGAGCCCAGCTGGTGTGGCTCAGTGGTTGAGCGTTGACCCATGCACCAAGAGGTCACTGGTTCGATCCCCGGTCAGGGCACATGCCCAGGTTGTGGGCCCGATCCCCAGTGGGGAGCATGCAGGAGGGGGCCAATCCATGTTCTCTCATTGATGTTTCTCTCTCCCTCTCCCTTCCTCTACAACTCGATAAAGGAAAAAAATTTTTTTTAAATGGTTCAAGTAGAAAATTTTATATATGTATTTTAAAATAAAAAATTAAAACAAACATTCGGTAAATAGTTTATTTAGGTGGTACTAGACCCAGGAAAGAACGGTGTGGCAGGAGTGGTGTTCCAGTCCTCTCAGGAAGTGGCCTCGCCGGAGAACGCTGGCCAACTATTTGGGAGCAGAGTTACCAATGAACCCACCTAGGCAGCAAGATAGCAGCTCTGAGGAGGCCAAAGCTGTAACAATTCACCGCCTGAGGGAGCCACAGGAGTTGTAGAATCCCCAGGTTCCTTTCATTAGGGCCCAGCGTACACTCACGTGCAGTGAGACTGCACAGGTTAGTTAGAGCACATCCACTTGCTTGAGTTGTCTGTCCTCAAGCATGGTTCCAAGAAAGGGCTCAGGAGTCCAGCAGACCTGGACTCAGTGCACACCACGTACTAGGAGGCAGCCCAATTTCTTTTAACCTATTTGCTCGTCTGCAAAATGGGGATGAGAAGAGTAGCTCCCTTCCAGGGATGTTATAAAGACTGGAACACGGTGGGGAGTGTTTTTGCCACTGTGAAGCCTTTAGCTAGCCTGGCCATCAGCCAGTCAACTGAGCTGAAGTTTACTTGAATCAAAGACTGAAATGTTTTAAGTAGGTCTCAGTAAAGGCTCTTTTTTGGGGGGAAAAAAAGACATACAATGTGTATCCAGTGTTTCCCACAGCAACTGGATTGTGGTCAATAAACATTAGCTAGGATAATTACTGCCTAGTGATACAAAGTTTTGATATTTAAACATAGTTTTAAAAATAATTTTTCTTTATTGATTTTAGAGAGAGCGAGAGGGAGAGGGAGAGAGAGAGGGAGAGAGACATGGATGAAAGAGAACATCAATTGGCCACCTCCTGCATGCCCCCACTGGTGATCGGGCCCACAACCTGGGCATGTGTCCTGACTGGCAATCGAACTGGCAACCTCTTGGTGCATGGATTGATGCTCAAAAACTGAGCCACACCAGCCGGGCAAACATATAGATATATATATGTATTTTAATCCTCACCCAAGGATATTTTTCTATTTATCTTCAGATGGAGTGGGAGGGAGGGAGGGAGAGAAAAACATCATGAGAGGGACACATCAACTGGTTGCCTCCTGCACGACCCCAACTAGGGCTTGGACGAAGCACAACCACGATATGTGCCCTTGATCAAAATCGAACCCGTGACTCATTGGTCCGTGGGCCAATGCTCTAACTGCTGAGCCAAACCGGCCAGTATGCTAAATGTATTTTTAATAAATACAAATGAAAAACCCAAATTCCCAAGTTTATTTACATTCAGAACCCTTGTTTCCACAGAACACTTCACAGGCTAGTCCTCAGTACAACCCTCACTGGGAAACGCTACCCCAGACACAGCCTCTAAGGCAGGGCCTGTGGTGAGAAGGTTGAGGACTGGCCTCTCCACATGCCTCTGGACAGGCACCAGCTGCACCACGATGGACCTCCCAGAGGAGTGAGGGTGGCAGTCGGCAGTGCCTGTCATTCAAGGTCTGAGGAAATCCTGGTGTAGGGCCTCACTTGGAGATTTAGAGTGAATGAATAGTAAAGCCAAGGAACCTTAGAAATACCCTCCTGTGACCTTGTTCTGAGGTCAGAGTGAGGGGGAAAGGAGCTGACCCACTTTGGGCTGCAATGGTCAAGAGCCCAGAGAGGAAGAATCTGCACTGGCTGGCCGCCGGCCGCCTCCCCGGACACAGGCCTCCACGGCCCAGGGAAGGGACTTGCACTCACAATGGGCCAGTTCTACAGTGTGGCAGCCACTACTGGGAATAGAAGCATAAAAATTAGGGATGCCAGCCCTGGCCGGTTTGGCTCAGCGGTTAGAGCGTCGGCCTGCGGTCCGGAGAGACTCGGGTTCGGTTCCCGCTAAGGGCACATACCTTGGTTGCAGTTTGTCCCCGGCCCTGGTTGGGTCGTGTGGGTGGCAGCCACTCGATGTGTCGCTTTCACGTCGATGTTTCTCTCTCTCTCCCTCTCACTCTATCTGAACAAAATATCGAAAAATGTCCTCGGGTGAGGATAAAAAAAAAAAAAAAAAAAATTAGGGATGCCAAAAAAAATTTTTTTAAATTTTTTTTTTATCCTCACCCGAGGATATTTTTTCCATTTTTTGTACAGATAGAGTGGGAGGGAGAGAGAGGGAGGGAGAGAGAGTGAGAAACATCGACGTGAAGGGACACATCGAGTGGCTGCCACCCGCACGACCAACCAGGGCCGGGGACAAACTGCAACCGAAGTACGTGCCCTTAGCGGGAACCGAACCCGGGTCTTTTCGGACCGCAGGCTGACGCTCTAACCACTGAGCAAAACTGGCCAGGGCCAAAAAAATTTTTAAGATGCTGCAAAAGAAGAGAAGGATGGAGAAGGTAGTTTTCTGGGAGAGATGATCTTATTCCAGGAACCTCTGGTGGGTTCAGTTGCAAACGGACACATCCAAATGAAACTGTACTAGGGCATCCACCCCTCTCCAGGAATGCCACCAACCCCACCAGTCCCCCAAACCCATTGCCCACCCCAATAGTCAATAACTCTGAAGACAACACCAGTTCTTCTCAAACAGTTTAATAGTAAATAAACAAAGGAAGGTACCACACTTGGCAGATACAAAATGACTTTGTCCGTGTGTCTGTGCAATTAAAACAGATTTAGGTTCCCCATCGGGACAAAAGGAGAAACACACAAAAAAAGGAGATTCCTTTTAAACACATACTCCCTTGCTCCAAACTTGTAACATTTTTTTTTCTTTTTTAATCCACTACACAAACTCTGTGATCAGGTCAGAAAAGCGACGAGGGCTCTTCTTGCCTTTTTTTTTTTTTTTTTTTTAAACCATTAAAGTAAAATCCATAATTTTCTACATAGTACAACACAAGTTCACACAAAAAAGACATTTTCTTTTGCAAATCAAAACAGGGAAGAAAGGAAAAGCTTAAACAAGGTAAAGGAAAAGCATTTCTACGCTGAATCACGACTTTGAGTTGATTGAATCCCGTTGTTGCTGCAGAACAGACTGTGCGTTTGGTCATAGTGGCAATTTTTTCTCTTCACATTGTGAAATCACTTTACATTGTTTTCTAGTAGAAAAGGCAAAAAACTGTACAAAACCCCTAGTGTTAAATACAACGTTTGTACCAATAAAAAACTCACACAGGTTTGTCTCCAAAATGTAAAGTTTCTTTTTTTTTTTCTTTTTAAATTATTCACAAAAAGCAGCTGGAAATCAGAAAGGCAGCTGCCGCTCCAGGGTCTCAAATCCATTAAAACCACCACAGAACAATTAAAACAATCAGAGAGAAAAGAAAAAGGAAACGTCCAACGTTTGGCATTTGGTTTTATCCACAGGTTTTCCCAGAGATCCTCTTGGAATTGAAAGCAAAACATATTGGCAAACACGGATTCTGGATACACAGGAAGGGGAGCCTCAGCGCCTTCTGCCAACAGAGGCGGCTCTGTGCAGTCAGACTGTGGGGTGCACGGCAGTTTGCTCAGGCTGGGGTTCCTGGCCTCTTTCCACCCAATCACCCCTTCCAGGAAATTAAGCAGTCTACCATACATGGGCCTCCATTTGGCCGCTTTTTCCTTCTAGTAAGAGTGGCCTCAAGTATAATACTAGGCAACCCGCTGGGTCCCAGACGAGAAACGAAGAAATTCTGCTGGAACCCCTTCCTTCGTCAACCCCAGCATGGATGATGCTAACAGTGCTTCTACCTTCCCCACCCCCTCCCCCGTCCCTTGGCTCCCCGCCACCTCCACCCTTCCCTGGACAATCCTGCTTCCCAGCTCTCCGGCCCACCAGCAGCTTTGTTCTCTGGGTGGGATCTATCGCAGACTCCTCCCTCTGAAACCTCTTACCTCCACATAGTCATCCTGTGACCTCTCATCTCTAGCCTCTCCCTCTGCCATTCACATTCTTACTCAAGCCCCTAAGACCCTGAGGCTGGATGGTGCCACAAGAGAGGAGGGCAAGTTCCCTTCAGGAAACCAAGGAACTGGCTTGCCTGGCACCCAGAGACAGTAGCTATTTGGCTCTTCGCCCAATTGAAAAAAAACAAATCCCCGCCCTTACTCCATCTCACTAGCTAAGAGCAGAGCTGCGGTGAAGAGCCAGTGTGGGGTGGCTGGTGGCCAGGGCTGTAAACAGTGTGAAGACTGTAGTATTGTGCTTGTCACCTAGGAAAAGCGCTGGCAGGTGTGTTGCCACTTAGTGCACAGATGGCCTCCTCTGAGTGGTCAAGAGCACCCTCCTTGTTCTGGGCCAAGGGATGCTCACTACCCCTAATGCGCTAAGCCTCCAGCCCACCTGCAGCCACCTTCTGGATTCTACCTCTGTTCCTTGTGCCTCTCTGGGCACCCACCCAACCTGTCTCTAAGCAGAGCAGCCAGCCTTCTGGAGGCCCTGCTGAGGCCTGGAGGCCACATGAGGTGACAGTCTAAGTGCACAGGCAAACGCTCTAAGGGCAATAGAGGAGAAAGTTGCCACTTCAAAATAAAACAATACAATCTTGAAAAAAATAATCAACCCCACAACAATTTAAAACAGCTTCTTTGAAACCCTCTTAAATCGGTCAGTTTTTGCACAAACTATAGAAAACAGAGAGGTGAAGGTGATATATAAGAAGGTGTGAAGAAACAGCAGGAAACATGCAAACCTTGTTTTTTTTCTGGGCATAATCATAGTAGGAAAGGAAAAAATTCCAAACAAAAGCACAAAAACAATACAAAAACAAAAACAAAAAAATCAAAGCATCACATTTTGCTGTGGAGACTGTAGGAACAAGCATGGAGGTGGGGACAGTGGGCTGAGGGAGAGGGGCAGAGGGATCTGAAGGCTCCCTGCAGGGTGGTTGCAGGAAAGAACCTCAAAAGGAAAAGGGCTTGCTGGGGCCCAAACTGCAGCCTGCTGTCAAAAAGGTAAGGGGGTTCAAATGTTTTCTGCAGTTGAGAACTCAGAAAAACAAAAATAAGAACACATGCAGTCTCCTCAAGCCCCACAAACTGTATCAGCAAAATGTGCTCAGGAGCCTCAAAGGTTTCAGTGACATCTTTTATTTCATTGTTTACTTCAAAGTTGTCTTTAAAACTAAGCACACAGAAACAAAGCCTAGAAACGGACTGGCTGTGTGTTCACAGAAATACAAAGACCACGCGGTATGTGCTAGTAGGGCTGCTCTGAAGACAATTACAAAGAATTGGAATCACAAAATCAAGTGGTTATCTTATGAAGTTCTAGAAAAATAGATTTTTTTATATTCAAATGCAAGTTTAAATATTTCCCCTTCAGCAGTCGTTCTAGCAAAACCAATTTGGCAGCACAAAAGAAAAATAAGGAAAGAAAAAAGAAAAAACAAAGAAAGAAACAAACATAATAAAAATACACATCAGCATCAAAGGTCAACACAAGGTCAAAGGTGAGAGTTCAAGCATCAGAGAAGCTGAAGAGACAGGGATTTGGACGATGTACTTGACGCCACATCGACATGCTTTAGGCACAACGATGAACAAACGGCAGGAATCTAGAAAAAAAAACAAACCAGAAAGAGGGAGACCCACTGAGTTACACAGAGCAATACATCCAAACAAAGAGAGAAAGAACAGGAACACTGTGTACAGCCCTGAAATGAGGAGGTGGGCGGGGCAGGGGCTGGGTAATGACAGGGAACTTTTGCACATGCTAACAATGGACACAGGGAAAAGTCAAAAAGGACATGGAGGACATCAAGAAAACATCCAATTGCCAGAGACAGAAGGGAAACTAAGGCTTGGATTTCCCCCAAAGCGTCCAAACACGTCTGAGAAGATCTCTGGTGGAGCAGAGCCTCAGCCTCTCCAACTCCCTGTTTAAGACCCAGGAAGAGAGGAGAAGCCTGGGGTGGGAGAATTCTATAGGGGAGAGGACCAGGATTTCTCCTCAATCCTATGGGAATGGCCCTTTGTTCCCAGAAATCCAAGCTCTTAGCTTCCACGCAGGCCCTGGCCACTCATGTGGAACCCAGGAGACAGTGTCTGGCTGCATTCAAGGCAAATCAATTTCATGATGAAACCCAAATAAGAAATAAAACTACAGGAGAAAACACATTTATGTAAGTGAAACCCCCACACAACAGTAAAAGACTGCTTAAGACTTGACTGCGAGTCTCCACTCTCCGAGCTGAACCCTTTCACACTGTGAGACTTGTAGGAGAGCAGCTCCTTCACAAAACCATCCTTGGCCGGGGGAGAAAGCTGTGCTCTAGGGTAGTGCTGCTGTGCTAACTCATCGGGCAGGGAGAGGAGAACAGACAGAAGTGCCCAGTCTCACCAGCTGGTCACTGGCAGCCCAGGGCCCTGCTGGGGCAAATGCTCCTTTAGGAAGAGAACCCACCAGCAGGTATGAAACCTCAGGGTCTAGTATCAAAGGCAGGCTCATCACACCTTTGCCTTTCATGTCATTTGGAAAGGGGTTTCTGAAGGTCCCAGAGCCCAGGACAAATCTGTGGACAATAAAGGTGAAATGGGGCAGCAGGGAGAGAAAGAGGGGAAAGAGGGAATATGGAGTTGACTTCTGGGATTTGGAAAACCCCACAATGGCCAAGGAGGAAGAAGAACAGAAGGTTAGTGATCACAGCACCACAGCACCCTGGAGAGCACAGCTCTCTCCTCCGCCAATTCACAGCATTAATTCCTTCCCCCTCTGGCAGATTAGCTGGGCTGCAAACAGGCCACAGAAAGTCAGTAGTTTCAATCATACACAGCACCCTGTGTGTATAACAATCACATTCTGGATTCTACAAAATCCTGGCCTTTTCCAGAGATATAATTTAGGTAATAAATAATTCTCCACCCCGGAGCTGTATAAAACTTCTATAAAAATAGAAACGACATTCTTGATTCCAGCTGGTTGGGATTCAGAACAGCGCCTCCCCAACCTAGCATTTTTTTCTTTTTTTTTGTTTTCTTTTTTCTTTTTTATTTTTATTTTTTGCATTTATTTAAAAAATCCCATCATGACCCTGGAAGCCTTTGGAACAGTTTTATCCTTTAAACACAGGACACATTTCACCCAGTGCGCAGAATTCAAGTTTACGTGGTTCAGCTTAAGAAGTGTGTTTCACTTTTCTTAGAGGACAACAGACCCAAGTTATCACTATGAGAAGGGAACAGCTGTCCCAGCTTCAATGGGATAACCCAACACCAACTACCTGTACAACAGCATGCTGGTCAATCCCTGTCTGTGACCCAAATGGACAGCATAACAAGGAGAGAGTCCCCAGCTGACTTACTAGCAGTCCAACCCCTTTAATCTCATCTCTGCTGCTAGGGGTCAGGACTGATGTTTGTGAAACTGAAGATCCCAGGGACCCAGTCACTGGCCTTGGCTAAGAGTCATATCCTAAAAGGGCTACCTGTACCCAAGTGCACATTCCCAACAGCATGTGCTTCCTGGCTCTCCACCCCTTCACCTCCATAACATTTCTTGGAGCAGAGGCAGAGCCCAGAGGCTGGGGGGATCACAGGCAAGACCAGGAGTGAGACCCAGAGGAGGCAGCAGGGAGCTAACTGTAAGCATGTGGACAAAAATGAACATGGTAATACTGAGGTAAATAAACACTAAATCCATATGGAGGCTATAAACGTCCTGTTGTCTCCTCTGTCCCCAAGAGAAGACGACAGGGCTGGAGTGGTTAGAAGAGGAGCCTGACTTGGTAAGAATACTACGCTTGGGACACCTCAACAAAGGAGGCATGGATTTCTTAATCCTTTTAAGTACAAAGTGCTGGCTGGCCTCTGGCAAATGCAGCACTCTGGCTGGAAGGGACCTTCTCATGCAGGCATACCAAGAAGCAAGCTCCTCTCCCCCAACTAGATGGATTTTGATCACTCTGCTCAGGAGAGGTGCCCCCTCAGCTAGGTACTATAAGACCTCCTTGGTTTTGCCCCCAGGATAAAATGGTGGCTTGGGATGAATGACACTCCTTGCTGTGGTCAACTACAAGGAAGGAAAACCACGGTGTCTTCCCTAGAAGCCTTCAAAAAGGGCCGTAAGAAATGGGCCATGGTCTGATCTGGTGTTGAAATAAACCAAAACTGATCTGTTTGACCGGCTGCTTCTCCCTAAAAAACCACCAGCCTGGAAGGACCAACCCAAAACCAATGGCTGGCTGAAAAAGCTGGTAATAGGTGATGTCTCCCTGTTTTTTGCATATGCCAGGCTAATTTAACAGATGTTTTATTTCCAGAGAATTTTCAGCCCCTTCTTGGGAAAGAGGGGCAAAACTCGTGGACAAGAACCCCAGTGCTTCCACAGAAGGCAGCTGGGGCAAGTTTCAGCCGACACTCCCAGGGTCGTGGGTGCTGTCCCTCTTCCTCTCCTCCAGGCCAACCTCCCAGCTCTACCCCCCCCCCCCCCTCTTGAACATCAGCTCTTATTTCATCCACTCTCGCACTCGGGGAGATTCTGGGGGTCAGTTTTTAGTTTCACTCAGCCCTCTCTTTTGGGGTAGTTTTGGGAAAGTTCTGATCTTCTTTAATGTTTCTCCATTCCCCCTCCTCCCCCAGGGTGGTTTGATGTTGGTCCTTCTCAACACACACTGGTTACAAACACAGCAAACTTTAAATAAAAAAACAAAACAAAACAAACAAACAAAAAAAAAACCTCAGGATATGGCACCTAAACTCCAAAGTAAAACACTGGAAACCAAAGCACAAACTTGTCCTCTGTACGAAGCGAAACTCCCACAGAAGGCAGTAGCCGAGTCTTCAGGGCAAGCTGTGCCTGCGAGAGTGGCGGGGATCAGGGTCCAGGGCTGTCAACACACAGCCTTAGGGCTTCGAATCATTAAGGGTGCTCCTCCCCAACTTACCAGAAGACCCTCTCAACTCCAGTCTCAGAGAGGAGCACGCTCAGTAGGGCTTGCTGTCATTCTTCGAACGTTTGAGCTGCACTTTAAGCCGCTTCATGCCAATCTGAAAGCCGTTCATGGACTGGATGGCAGCTTGAGCCGAAACAGGATTGTCGTAACTTACAAAACCTGTGTGTCCAAGCAGAAACCTAGGTGAGGGACATAACGAGGCAAGGAGATTCTCAGTCCTCTTCATGCAAGAGAGATATCTCATGAGCTTAGCCTCAAATTCCAATTTTTCTCAATAGGAACAAGAATTCTGGACATTATATCACATAAAATAAAGTTCCTAACAGTACCACTTGACATCAACATGGTACTTTTCAAGCTCTTTTCCATACATTACTTTATTTTACCCTCTGGAGAGAGAGTGCAGACAGAAATCATCACGCCCACTGCAGCAGTGAAAAAAACTTGAGACTCAAAAAGAAGTCATATAACCTGCCCAAGGCTGAGTTAAACAAAAACACAAACTCCATCCCAGGTTTCTGCTATCAGCCCCTTCCCTCTCTTTCTCAGTGATAAAAATACTTATCACCCTGCCCCCCCCCCCCCAACACACACCAAAAGAGAAGCCAACATACCAAAACACTTGCTCAGGTTTGTCTGCTTGTCTATAAAAACCTTGGCAGACACGACATTCCCAAAGGGCATAAACATCTGCAGCAGGTCCTGATCTCCAAACTCCTGGGGCAGGTGGTAGATGAACAGGTTGGCTCCCTCTGGACCTTCAAGACACCCAATGAAAAGATATCAGTGGGAAGCACGCTCATCCTCTTGCATCATCCCTCATCCCCCTCCGTGTTAAAACTATCAGCACTCCAACAAACAGATTCTTTCATTTGAAGAAGGAAACAAATTCTCCATATACAAAGCAGGGAACTGAAGGGCAATCACTGAAACAGATCTCTTCCCTCATGTCTAGCTATGCTCCATGTCTCATTGTGGGATGTCAGAATTGTACCTTGTGGGAGGAAGGTGTGCTGAGATCAAGGAGGCAGACCTACGTGTGGAACATAAAACCAGAGACTAGACACTTGTAGAAAATCACAGAAAAGGAAGTAGTAGAAATATATGATAAATACAACAGTTTCAAAATTGTGCCTAGAAACTACAGGGACAGCAAATACATTGGTAGCTGCCAGAGGCAGGAAGTGGGGGCAGGAAATGCCTACAAAGGGACATGAGGAAATTTCTGAGGGTGACAGAAATGTTTTACATCTGTGCTGGTGGTTACATGACTTTATGCGTTCATCAACTCATAGAACTATATTCCAAAAAAGGTGAATTGACCTTATGTCAACTGTGCCTCAGTAAAGAGAAATTACATTTTAAACTATGATTAACATTGAGCTCAGAAAGAGAATATGCTTTCCTTCTTCAACCACGCAACAATTTTCTAACCCAAAAAGAGTTTCATTACAACCACAGTGCAGCCATTCTTCAGCCACCCTGGCCTCCCTGATGTTGTCAAACACATTAAGGAACACTGCTACCTCAGGGCCTTTGCACTTGCTTTTCCTCTGCCCCATTACTCGTATTCCTCAGTTTCAACAGCAACTTAGAACTTCTCTGACCATTCCATATAAAATGCCGTTGTCTTTGGCACTCCCCACCCCCCTTTCCTGTTCACTGTTCTTCAGAGCATCATCTGGAACACCTCGGGCTCTTGTTTATTTTCTGCCTCCATAGTTCCACCAGTTTTCCCATTACCACATCCTATGGCACATAAGTGCCTCAATCAGAGCAGGTGTGGATGTACTATACACTCCTTGCTGCTATGGCAAAAGAGGATACTTGTCTTTTTTCTACAATAGTGCTTAAACCTTGCCAGCTCCTGGTTATAACATAAATATAAACAGAGAGGTGTCAGCAGGACTTCCTATTCATACAAAACACCTTCAAGCCTCTTTCTGCCTAGAAAGCCTCTCCTGAATTTAATACCATTTTATCAAAACTCATACTTCACTGCATCAATCCATGGGCCATAACTCTTTCTGTCCCATCAGCCTTCAGTTTGTCCTTAATTAGGAAAAGTATAGATCAGAAAGTGAGGAAAATGCCAAATGCTAAAGCTAAAAGGGACACCTACACAGAAGATATCCTCTGACAGATTAATAACCCTCAGGGAAGACTTCCTAATAAAAACAGATTGCCAATGTGGAGTCAGACACAGTAAGGTTGGTATGTTTCTTCATCTAAAAATGGCATCCTGATCCCAGATAGGTGTATGCAGATTCATTCAGATCTGAGCCACATCCAGAGAACATTGCAAAAGCAGATCACATTTAATAGTTTTTTCAGTCTATCTCTGACAATATCAAAGAAAAGTAGTGGTCTGACCACCTAAGTGATTCTCTTGGCCTTTGTCCTGCCTTTCAGTTCTGGTGCAGATGAAGAAACCACCCATCCCTGACTCCAGCCTCCTTTTGCACTCACCTTCCTTCTGGCTTCCAGCAGCACCAATGCTCTGCTGTGTCAACAGATTCTGGTTGTACAGAGTGGGAAGCGCTGCGGCAGCGTACTGCTGGATCCCCGAGTAGGCCTGTGTGAGGGCCTCCATGGTGCTTCCAGTGCCATTGGAAAGGCCACTGCTGCCCAGGCCACCATTTAAAGCAGCCATCCCTTGGTTGAGGGAGAGAACAAGATTAATAGGATTGGATAGATTCATCTGATGCCAAAGAAAAACTCCAAAGTCCTTCCTTTCATCTCACACTGAGAAGGGATATTCATTTGTGTGGTCAGACTTCAGGACACTCATCAGGCCTCGTTGCTAATAACTACATTAAAAAATGCCTCACCCAGCCCTGGCTAGTTTGGCTCAGTGGTTGGAGTGTTGGCCCACGGACCAAAGAGTCGTGGGTTCGATTCAGTCAAGGGCACATACCTCGGTTGCAGCTTGGTCCCCAGCCCTGGTCAGGGTTGTGCGGGAGGTAGCCAACTGATGTCTCGCTCTCTGTATTTCTCTATCCCTCCCTTCCTTCCACTCTGTCTGAAGATAAATAAAAAACTATCCTCGGGTAAGGACTTAAAAAAAAAGCTACACCCAGATGTGACTTTCCCTATTACCATCTTCCAATCTGTGCAAGAAGTGACACCACGTACACATGACTTACCCCATTTCCTCTTTGGCTTTTCTGCCACTTTCTCACACAAAGCTGGAATATAGTAAATAAGTCCCGGGACTGGGGACTAAAGGGGGCACATGTGGTCTATGACAAGATGGGGGTAAAACCTACCATTCAAAACAGCAGCTAACATTGCTGAATACATTCTACGTGCCAGACACTGTTCTGAGCAGTGTGCTCAGCACTTTATCTGTGTTCTCATTTAACTTTTTGTTTGTTTGTTTTTTATCCTCACCCGAGGACATTTTTGCATTTATCTTGAGATAGAGCAGGAGGGAGAGAGAGACACACATCGAGTGGTCGCCACCCACACGACCCCAACCAGGGCCGGGGACAAACTGCAACTGAGGTACGTGCCCTTGGCAGGAACTGAACCCAGGTCTCTCTGGTCCACGGGCTAATGCTCTAACCGCTGAGCCAAACTGGCCAAGGCCTCATTTAACTTCTCAATAACCCTAAGTATTCTATTCCCCCTTCATGGATAAGAAAATGACCTTGGAAAGGTGGTCGAAAGTTTAAACTAGTTAAGGGGCTGAGGTAGGATTTAATTCATGATTATGTTTTTTAAGATTTTTAAATTGATTTTTAGAGAGAGAGTGAAGGGAGAGGGAGAGAGAAACATTGATGTGAGAGTGAAACATCAACTGGCTGCCCCCCACACGGCCCCTACCAGGGACCAAGCCCAAAACCCGGGCATGTGCCCTGACTGGGAATTGAACCAACAACCTTATGGTGCACAAGACGATGCCCAACCAACTGAGCCACAACAGCTAGGGCAACTCATGTTTATTTTTAAGTTCACTGGGCCACTCAATCATTCTAACAGTACCCTTACCAAAGTTGTTTATAATGTGCTACCTGCACAAAGAAAGACCTGGTGACATCCAGGGGCTGCCTCTCACCTGCCAAAGAGCTGACGTTGAGGCCAGCTGTTGCTCCAGCTAATGTCTGCAAGGCTCCAAGGGAAGCAATGGGGTTGACAGAGCTGCTGCTGCTGGAGCTCGGTGAAGACCCTGCTACCAAAAATCCACTGAATTAAACTCAAGCCAATACTTGCCTTCTCATGTCAGCAGGAACCAAAGCCTAAGAGTGATACTACTTAAGCATTCTTTGTAAAAAGGTTTTCAATTACTAATTTTGATAACTCTCCCTACTGGACAAAAAAATCAAATGATGGTTGCAAGAAATTAAAAATTATGAAATGAAGTCTTAAGGCAGAAGATGACATTTGAAAATCTGATGTTCATAATCTGTCCTCTTTGGAAATGGGTGTTAACTACTCTGGAGAATGACATACCCTTCTCCTCTTGGGATTCTGCCCAGGGCACACAAGGGCCCACTGGCCTGTTACACACTTACCTGAACTGGTGAGTACGCTGAGGGGACTGCTGGATGTAGTGAGAGCATTGGTACCACTTGGTGTGTTCTGAGCAGCACTAGCTGCAGCAGCTAGGGCAGCCAAATTCTGTAACTGCATTGCATTTAACCCTGCAACATCCAAAGCAAGAGATCAGTGAGTGGATAAGGGTGTCTCCTATCCGTTCCAGCAGTGACAGTGCACGCTAGCAGAAGGGTAGTTCCAAAGAGGAAATGATCTAGATAAGCTTTATAAGCAACCTTACAGGGCTCCAGCAAGATTCAGCTACCAATCAATTCATTAAGAAACTTGACATCCTTTCCTCAGAGAAGAGGTATCTAATCCAATAACATGCCATCCCAAGTGAGCATTAATAAAGGGATGGGCAATTAGAAACCAGGAAAGAGGGGTAGGTCTGTGGTCTACCATAGGGCCAGGTGTCCAAGAGGACAACAATGCCAAAACCTATGGCACAGAATGAGACTGCATCCGAACCCCTCACTCAGATTTCACAGGGATGTGCTCTTCGAAATGGAGGCGAACAAGCAGAAAATGTAGCAGAGACCCAGAAAGGGAGGAACAACAGGGGAGAATGCATGTGAGAACAGCAAGAGGAAAAAGAATAAAGAAAAATCACCACTTGAATAGCAGATTAGTCATCAGAAAAAGAAAGAAAAGAACACCCAGGGAAAGATTTCCAAGTAGAACCTAGGAACACAACAATGAAAAGGGGAACAAAAACTTTGAACTACACTGACAATGTGCTGCAAACCATTTAGATCAGCGGTTCTCAAGCTGTGGGTCGCGATCCCTTTGGGGGTCAAACGATCCTTTCACAGGGGTCACCTAAGACCACCGGAAAACACATATTTCTGATGGTGATTCATAGCAATAGCAAAATTACAGTTATGAAGTAGCCATGAAAATAATTTTATGGTTGGGGGTCGCCACAACATGAAGAACTGTATTAAAGGGTCGCAGCATTAGGAAGGTTGAGAACCACTGATTTAGGTGATGGAAAGGCAGAGGGGTTGGGGGTTAAGAGTTAATGAGAATAAAAAACTACAATAGAGATTTACAAGCTAGCAACTTTCTCAGTCTCTGGGACAAAGTGAACTGCTATTAAAACTTTTCAAATGGCAAAATACAGCTCACCTAAGACCACTCCTTTCTCAAATGCACATGTTTAGCCTTATCCCATTGCCAAAGGGGCAGGCAGGTCTGGAGCTCCCTTCCTCTACCCCTCTATTTTGATGGAACCTGCCTCAAGTTTGTCTGTGGAGTCCCATTTTGTTATAAACTCAGGTATTTGTCAATTAAGTTTTCCATGCATGTTAACACCAACAAAAGGTAATTCCCCTATGAAATAACATGTACATGTTTACAAAGGTAAACTAATTGCCTGGATTCCAACAACTTCAGGGTAAGCCATTTGCATGGAAGCCATCTTAGGCTTTTCTTCAGAGTCTCTGTTCAAGCACTTTATTGTGAAAATAAAGGGTTCCTGCAATTTTCTCCTGATCAAAATAGCCTCAGGTAGTCTGCAGGTACTAACAGTTTTTTCTATCTTCTTCCTCAACAGACACTTAAAGGGGTGGGGAGCAGTAGACAACCCCATAACAATCTGGCATCAATGACAGATAGAGTCACCTTCTAGAGACAAGGCGGTTGAGTCCTGGGATGTTCATCTTATGTCAGATTTACATGAGTGGAATTTTTTTTTTTTCCTGCACAAATGGTGCAAAACTCTCAGACTGTTGTTAGCTGGGTCTGTTGGCCTGGCTGCTGCTGCTCCTCCATAGCAGTGCAACACTTACCTCCCATTGGGTGGAGGCTGCTCAGGGTGCTGAGGTTCCCAGAGGAGGCAGTCTGCTGAAGGAGCTGCAAATAAAGCTAGACATTACACCAAAAAACAGAATAAGAGTGAGAGTGAGGGCTGGTTCTGCATCTGGGATAACTCTACAGCACAGCAAAGCGAGAGTGCAGAGGCCCCCAGAGAGAAGAATGTTGAAGACAAGAACCCAAGCCAACACAACAGAAACATATGGCTATGACAGCACAGTACAACACAACACAGCTTAAAGCCCTGGCCCAGAAGACAATAATGTTCATTGAATACTGAGCCAAGCTCAAGTGCCTGGGGCAACAGAATGCAGCACAGCAAAGGACAGAAGTAGAGCAGGGAACTAAGCTCAATTCAAACAGCTATGTAATCGACTATGATGAAGTGTCTGCATATGGATGACTGCCATTTCTATTTCCTCTATCCCAAGTCCTCCCTAGTTAGGTCTATACATCTTATTTTGCAGATTGTTTCCATCTGGATAACCAACTTCTATTTCAAACAACTATTTTAAATATCAAATCTAAGCATTTCAGGGTATTTCTTAAGAGTAACCCATTATCAGCCACAACAGACCTATGTATGACTAGATCAGTCTCTCCCATGCTACACATCCATTGAGCTCATTTATCTCCTCCCCTCCAAATTGGACTTCACTGTTGCAGATGACCAAATAACTGAGGGATCAGTCCATATCAGTTCAGCGTACATATTCTTTCAATGAAAGTCCCATAAGAGGACCCATCTGTCCATAAGCTTATGGAACTCCAATCATCTTGACCTTATTCTGTATGTTAGCAAACTACAATCTTCATCTAACCAACCTAATGAAAATCTCTGCTCCATTCAAATGCAACCACTGTTCCTTATGAATAACTAGTACTCTTGTTTCTAGTTCCTTTATTCAACCTGTTGTCCATTCCCATAAACATCTGACCTGCTTTCTCTGTCATGAATCCCTTTAGTCCACAGGTTTCAGGAGGTCCACAAACCTCCAGAAACAGAATTTTAAAAATGCACATACACACAATTTTTACCACAGCAGTGCAAAAATCCATATAAATTAAAAACCACCACTCTGGTCCAACAGAGATCAAGTGCAATCCACATATTCCAGAAAAAAATTCATAATGAATGATGATATACTATCACTTACACAGCCCATTAGCACCCATGTCTTCATTTTTGTCTTCTTAAATACCTTGGGCAGTGTTCAGTCCCAGCTGGTGGACTGTGCATAATGTATGTCACCCATTTCCTCCCTAAATGAGAACAGCTCTTAGGCAGGGGATCACATCTGACTCAAACAAAACATAGTTTTCACCATATACCATCGTGTATTTGCGGGATGTGGCAATGACAACAAGAAGGGGAGTGTTCCCTAAAACCAAGCTCTAAAACTCTCTTAGTTACAGAATTGCATATCATGGAGATCATTTTCAAAGCATTATCATTTTGGCAGAAGTCTAAAATATCCTGGATTTTCTGAAGTTTTAAAGCAATGTTCTAGCACTAAGAAACAATTTGATCTGTTGAAACAGAACCACCATCTCCACTTTTTGACTTCAGAGATATAGAAACTAAGATAAACTGAGATTTCTTCTAACGTATCAGAAATATGGAGACCAGGGGACATCAATTAGCCAAATTCAGTACTGGGGGACAGAAATCATTGCCTTTCTTCTGTTTCCATAGAGAATAATCTTTGAAAGGATGAGGAGTGGATGACTATAATTATTCCTATGTGTATATTTTTGGACTATCCATATAAATCTAGTGGTTTCACCATTTATTTTCCTTCACTAACAGCTTTACAGATGACCTGTACTTTCAGATGGAAAAGATTTAATTATGTTGTCCTGTCTCCACGTCCTTAAAAGGTTTAAACAGTAATAATTTCCTGTAATACTGCAGACCTAGTATATCTTAGTAATAAACTGGAGTCTTCCTTTTGGACTGTATGACTTAAACTCAACAAGAGAGAAATCAAATTAAAGAAAATCTATTTATAATAATTAACTCAAATATACACCTATAATACTCATTAAATAATGTCCATACTCTTCAGAGAGATTCAATAAGGTCTTTAATGATGCCCTCTACACCTAGTAGAAAGATATTTCATAGTTAAAATTACCTCAGGAATTTTTTTCCTAGCAGGCAGGAACATGAGATGTTTCTAAATCTTTTTATCAGAAAATTGTGATTTCACTTTAACTCAAGATATAACCAAAGCCTCAAGATATAATCAGATATGTGACCAGAGAGATAGAGAGTGTAATATGACTTAAAGAACACTGCATTGCCTGAATTTTTACATAAAATTTCAATGTGCTAAAGTTGTAAATGCCACTGTGTCTGTTTGCTGGGGATAGCAGAAGAAGAAACAGCTAGGAGCTTGCACAGTCTGCGGAAAGCAAACCACGAAGACTCACTGCTAAATACTGGGGTCCAAGAGTATTTAGACCAGCAAGGTTTCCCCACACAGATGCTGCGCTGATTTGCTGCATCTGCTGCTGAAGCTGCTGGGCCATTCTCTTCTGTTCTTTGTCCTTCTGCGTATCAGCAAATTTTACCACCATGGGGGATGAGCAACCCTAGGAAAATACCAAAACCAAAGGGTCAAATTCCACCTTCTAGGTGAAGGAAAAATCATCCTTGCTAGTGACACACAGGCTGCACTCTAATTTCATTCGCTGTCAATTAATTTTCTTCCTGATACACGTTAAGTGGTAAAAAACAATTTAAAAGGGCAACTAGTTCCAATATGTTAATTTTAATGTTCATTTCATAACATCCAATATGTTAAAAAAAATCATTTTTTAACTTTAAAACATTTGGTCTGCTTAACTTTTAGGACAACCAGATGCTATATGTGCTGCTGGGTTTTGAAGGTCAAATGCCCTAGCACTCACAGGCTAAGGAATGTCCCCCTTGCATTCATCTGCTTCCTACCTCCATGGTCTGTGCTTGGTGCATTGCCTTGATAGCAGTCTGTGCCATGGCCCTTGTTGTAAAAGTCACAAATGCACAACCTGATAAGAAAAGGGTCAATAACTCATTCATTCATTTGCTTATTTACTTACAGAAATTAACTGAGCACTTAACAATGTGCCAAATACCATGCTAGCAGTTAAGTATAGACATGATTCCTACCTTCAGGGATTCATGATCTAGTGGAAGAGAAGAGCTACGCTATAACAGGGTGATAAGTGCTATAATGAAAAGCCAGGGAAGCACAGACAGAAAAAAAAGTGCTTGAGAGATAAAGGAGGATTCATAGCCTCTGGTTCCCCCTGAGAAAAAAGTGTTTCCATTTTGACATTAAGAACCTCTCCAAGCATAGAGAGAGAGAGAATTTTAATACATGACACTGTCATGCAGAATATAAACTTCTTAATGATGTTGGGAGAACACAAAAGGGATTAAATTGAGGAAGAGTTTTGATGGGACCTACACATGCACCAATAAGCCCAACCTCTCCATCATGACAGAACCAATGTTGGCTAGGGATCACTAGTTTCCACTGGTCCAATTAGAAACTCCAAATTTAAAATGAGTATCTTCATAATTTTTAAATGTTTTTATTTATTGATTTTTAGAGAAAGGGAGATATATATATATAAACACTAATTTGTTACATTTATTTAATTCATTCATTGGTTGATTTTTTTTTTTAATCCTCACCCGAGGACATTTTTCCATTTTTTGTTCAGGCAGAGTGGGAGGGAGAGAGAGGAACAGAGAGAGAGAGAAACATCGACGTGAAAGGGACACATCGAGTGGCTGCCACCCGCACAACCGACCAGGGCCGGGGACAAACTGCAACCGAGGTACGCGCCCTTAGCGGGAACCGAACCTGGGTCTCTCAGGACCGCAGGCCAACACTCTAACCGCTGAGCCAAACCAGCCAGGGCTTGGTTGATTTTTTAAAAAAATGTTTTTATTGGTTTTGTTTTGTTTTTAGAGAAAAAGGAAGAGGTAGAGAGAGAAACATCAATGTGAGAAAGAAACATCAATCAGCTGCCTCCTGCATGCACCCTACTGAGGATCAAGCCTGCAACCCCGGCATGTGCCCTATCCAGGGATTGTACTGGGACCTCTCTACCCATGGGATGATGCTCAATCCATTGAGCCACACCAGGTGGGCCATTGGTTGATTCTTGTATGTGCCCTGACCGGGAATCAAACCTATAACCTTGGCATATCAGGACAATATTTTACCAACTAAGCTACCTGGGCCAGGGCAAGATGAGTATGTTTAAAGTTTAAAAATACACCCACCTCGGCTCAGTCCATCAGGTCCCCGCAATATTCGACATTCTTCAATCTGTCCAAATGAAGAGAACATGACTCGGATGTCATTTTCAGTGCACTTCTTGGAAATCATACCAATAAACAGCTTCCTGTCTTCCACTGCTAAGAGAGTAAAACACAAAAGGCTTCAACATTATTACTACAGGAAGTAGTAGAGCACAGACTCTAGAGTCAAGACCACTTGGGTTTGAACCCTGGTTCTGGTGCCTTTATCCCATATTTCACAGATTCTAAGATATACTCCATGCCCCCTAAGTTAGCACCTCCTCTTATAAACAATGGTATCTTAAAATTACCACTGGAAGCACTTAGATGAAATGAAGTAGCTTTGTGATCTTGTGAAAGTTACCTAACCATTCTGTGCCTATTTCCTCATCTGACTGATAGGGATAACTGGGTCTACCTCAAAGGTAGCTGTAGGCATTAAATGAACAGGGTTTAGATTTTTGCCTTAGTAATATTTGCTCTTACTGACAATACTACTACACTAAAAATGAGTTTTCACATTTAACTGATATGGTGAGAAACAGGACACACCTTCAAAGAGTCTATTATCCACTTTCCTTTTCTGACTGTCCTCTTAAGGACTAAGTTCTCCTTTGTAACTTGCTCATATCCCCCCTTTACTTCTGTCCATAAGAAATTATATCGATCAAAGACATTCCAGTTCACCCCAAAATGTTATTGTAATGTTTCCCTATCAACTATATTTATCTTAGTTATTTACCATACTTATTTTATATATTTTTTTGGTTAATCCTCATCCGAGGATAGTTTTTCCATTGATTTTTAGAGAGTGGAAGGGAGGGGGTGAGAAGAGCGGGGGAGAGGAAGGAAGAGCGAGCGACATCAATGTGAGAGACACATTGATTGGTTGCATCCTGCACTCTCCCACAACCAGGCCAGGGATAGAGCCTACAATCAGGTATGTGCCCTTGACCGGGACTCAAACTCACGGCCCTTCGGTGGATGTGCTGTGCCGACGCTCTAACCAATGTGCAACACCGGCCAAGGCTAACATACTTATTTTAAAGGAAAAAAAAAAAAACAATTTAGATGACAATTTAGAGCACTGAACCACTATCTTATACAATACACAAAAAATTAACTACAATGGATTAGACTTGAATATAAGACCCAAAATCACATAATTCCTAGAAGAAAACCATAGGTGGTAAGCTCCTTGACATCAATTTTGGCAATGACTTTTTTGGATCTGACTCCAAAAGCAAAGGCAACAAAACAAAAAATAAACAAGTAGGACAACATCAAACTAAAAAGCTTCTGTACAGCAAGGGAAACACTATCAACAAAATCAAAGGGCAACCTACAAATGAGGGAAAATATTTGCAAATCATGTATCTGATAAAGGATTAATATTCAAAATATATAAAGAACTCATACAACTCAAGAGCCATGAATAGACATTTCCCAAAAAAAGGCATACAAATGGACAACAGATACATCATCATTAATCATCAGGAAAATGCAAATCAAAACCACAATGAGATATCTCCTTAAACCAGTTAGAATGGCTACTATCAAAAAGTCAAGAAAGGAACAAATGTTGGCAAGAATACAGAGAGCCCTGGCTGGTTTGGCTCAGCGGTTGGAGCGTCGGCCTGCGGTACAGAGAGACCCGGGTTCGGTTCCCGCTAAGGGCACGTACCTCGGTTGCGGTTTGTCCCCGGCCCTGGTTGGTTGTGCAGGTGGCAGCCACTCGATGTGTCCCTTCACATCGCTGTTTCTCTCTCTCTCTCTTCCTCTCTCTCCCTCCCGCTCTATCTGAACAAAAAATGGAAAAATGTCCTCGGGTGAGGATGAAAAAAAAAAAAAAAGAATACAGAGAAAAAAGAACCCATATGCATTGTTGGTAGGAATGTAAACGCATGCAACCATTATAGAGAACAGTATGGAGGCTCCTCAAATAATTAAAACTAGAACTACCATAGGATTCAGGAATTCCATTTCTGGGTATTTACCCAAAGAAAATGAAAACACTAATTCAACACCCATGTCCACTGCAGCATTACTGACAACAGCCAAGATGTGGAAACAACCAAAGTGTACACTGATAAATGAATAAAGAAAACGTGCGTGCGCACGAGTGCATATGCACACAGAAACAGAGAGAGAGGGAGAGGGAGGGAAGAAGAAAAATAGTCAGTCATAAAAAAGATTGACATCTTGCCATTTGTGACAACATGGATGGAACTTTGGGGCATTATGCTAAATGAAGTAAGTCAAAGAGGGAAAGACAAACACAGTATGATCGCTCTTCTATGTGGAATCTTAAAAGAAAACAAACACACCAACTCATACAGAAAAGACTGATGGTTGCCAGAGATGGGGGGTGGGGGTGGTGAAGGTGAGCAAAAGGGGTAAAGGGGTTCAAAAGGTACAAACTTCCAGTTATAAAAGATAAATATTCATGGGGAAGTTAGGTAGAGCAGCATGGAGACTATAGTTAATAATACTGTACTGTATATGTGAAAGTTGCTAAGAGAGTAGATCTTAAAAGTTCTTATCACAAGAAAAGCTTTTTGTAACCATGTATGGTGATAGACATTAACTAGCCTTACTGTGGTGATCATTCCACTATATAAACATTATGTTGGATCTGGCTGGTTTGCTCAGCAGTTAGAGCATCAGCCCTCGGACTGAAGGGTTGCAGGTTCGCCCTGGTCAAGGGTAAGTAGTACCTAAGGTTGCAGGTTCAACGCCTGGCCCCAGTAAGTCATGCGGGAGGCAACCAATCGATTTGTTTCTCTCACACCAATGTTTCTCTCCCCCACACCCTGACTCTAACAAAAAATTAATGGAAAAATGCCCTCAGTGAGGATTAATAAAAACAAATAAAAAAACGTGATGTTGTACATCTGAAATTAATATAATGCCGCATGTCAATTCTACCTCAAAAAGAAATTACTTAGAGCAAAATGCAAACTAGATGCCATAAGAATAGCAAACTAGGAAGAAATCTGGTAAGGGGAAGGCCTATATACGTGCTTACCATTGTTCTTCTCACTGTCGGCAGGTTTCATCTGTATAGGATGATGCATCTGAAAAGGAAAGACGTGAATATCACCACTGTACACAGTAAAGGTGTTTAGAAATATAAATGAAGACTCTAAAGGAATACCAAAACTAGAGCCTGTAAGAGTTCTTTTGAACTCATGTCTGCCTCATCTTTCCACCACAAAATATCAGAATAGGCAGAATGCTGAGTCAAGAAGTTAAAATTTTCTTGGCTGAGAAAGAACTACTTTCAGCCTATAGTCTTGGAAAGTTCCCTTTACATCCATTCCTGTAGCAGTCACCCTTTCCCCAAAATATTTTCAGTGTGTACCTGATACGTGTAAGTATGTTCCATGGGTCAAAAACACCACAGTTCCACTTACTACTAGGAGCTTTCTTACCCCTGGGAGGACCTTCATGTTGTGGAGAGCATTCTGTGCTTCTAATGCAGCTTTGCGGGTGTAAAATGTAACAAAACAGCACCCTGTAATAAACAAGATTTCACAAAAATCAAACCAGTCCTATGAAAGTAGAGAAATCCTAGAGCACTCAGTCCTCCCCGGACATACGGGGCTGGGGCAAAAATAGGTTTACAGTCGTGAGTACTGAGTTTATTCTTGTATTATTATTTACCACATGAACAACTGTAAACCTACTTTTGCCCTACCCTGCATTAGAACTTAAAAAGGGCAGGGTTTATTAAAATAAGGGAGAGACAGACAGACAGAGAGAAGAGAGCCTAGCAGAGAATAAAACATTTTTTCCTATGCATTTTCTTTATTGTTATAGTCTCTTAGTTTTATTAAAATTCTTCCTTAGCTAGCTGCTCCTGTAACTTCTCTGGGAAAGATGACTTCCCTTACAAAGGTCATGGTACCAAGCCATTCAATCCACCCTGTTATTGTTTTTTAAAAAATAGGTTTTTAGGGGTGGGGGGTGCCAATGGGGTAAAAAGGTAAAATATCTGTAACAAAAAAATAAATAAAAATTCATAAAAAAAAAAATAGGTTTTTACTTATTTTTTAGAGAGGGGCAGGGAGAGAGACAGAGAGAAATATCGATGCAAGGGAGAAACATTGATTAGCTGCCTCCTGCACACCCCTCCTGGGGATTGAGCCCACAACCCAAGCTGATGTCCAGACCAGGAATTGAACTGGAACCTCTCAGTCCAGTCCATGGGTTGCCGCTCAATCCACCGAGAGACACCAGCCAGGTGAACTCGCCCTATTTGGAGCACCAGGTAGTGTGTTGGACAAGAGGACTCAGCTACAAACAAGAAAGACAGGCCTTGAACCTTGCAGCTCCTCAGCTACCAGAAACTCTTTCTTTGTAGAATAAACCACTCCTCACCCAGCCAGTGTGGCTCAGTGACTGAGCATCGACCCATGGACCAAGGAGTTGCTGATTCGATTCCTGGGTTGTGGGCTCAATCCCCATTAGGGAGCGTGCAGGAGGCAGCCAATTGATGATTCTCTCTCATCATTGTTTCTCTCTCTCCCTCCCTCTCGCCCTAAAAAAAATCAATAAAACACATTAAAAAACACCTCACACCTGCCAGAATGGCTACCATCAACAAATCATCAAACAACAAATGCTGGCGAGGGTGTGGAGAAAAGGGGACTCTAGTACACTGCTGGTGGGAATGCAGACTGGTGCAGCCAATATGGAAAACAGTATGATGTTTCCTCAAAAAATTAAAAACTGAACTGCCATTTGACCCAGTGATCCCACTTCTAGGAATATATCTTAAGAAGCCTGAAACACCAATCAGAAAGAATATATGTACCCCTATGTTCATAGCAGCACTATTTACAATCACAAAGATCTGGAAACAGCCCAAGTGTCCATCAATAGATGAGTGAATAAAAAATCTGTGGTACATATACACAATGGAATACTGTGCAGCTGTAAGAAAGAAAGATCTCTTATCCTTTGAGGGATCTCAAGAGTATTATGCTAAGTGAAATAAGCCAATGAGAGAAAGACAAATACCACATGATCTCATTTATTTGTGGAATATAATGAACAAGGTGGGCTGATGAACAAAATAGACCCAGAGACATAGAAAGGAGTATAGTTCAGACTGACAAACCTCAGAGCAGGGGGGTGGGGTGGGGGAGATAAATGAGATGAACCACAGAACTTATATGCATGTATGCATAACCAATGGACATAGACAACAATGCTAGGGGGGTGGGAGGGGGGTAGGACGGAGAGGAGGAGAAAAAAAGATATATATTAAAAAAAAAGAATAAACCACTCCTTGCACTGTAGCCAATTTCTACCATGTGTCTCAAACATAGTTACTGTTTATTAAGTTATAAAATGACTTAAGAGCAAGAACCTCTTAGTATCTTTTTTTGGACCCTTGGTTCTCATAAAATATAATTAAGCTTCTAACAGTGCATGGTACTAATGTGAGATCTGTAAGTTTTGTGCTTTGTATCTTTGCTGGAGATAGGAGGAAGAAGGTATATTTTGTAAATCTTGGGTCCACAGTTCAAGAGATATGATATAGATTTCTTTAAAATCACCCTGTAGCCCTGGCCGGTTTGGCTCAGCGGTTAGAGCATCGGCCTGTGGTCCGGAGAGACCCGGGTTCGGTTCCCGCTAAGGGCACGTACCTTGGTTGCAGTTTGTCCCCAGCCCTGGTTGGGTCGTGTGGGTGGCAACCACTCGATGTGTCGCTTTCACGTCGATGTTTCTCTCTCTCTCTCTCCCCCTCTCACTCTATCTGAACAAAATATCGAAAAATGTCCTCGGGTGAGGATAAAAAAAAAAAAAATAAATAAATAAAATAAAATAAAATCACCCTGTAATTAAGATTTTAAATTATTGCATGTTATATTGCCAATCATTTTCAGAAACTATAGTACTTTAATTTTCATCAATTTTGGTTTTTAATCCTTACCCAATGACATTTTTGCATTTATCTTCAGATAGAGTGGGAAGGAGGGAGGGAGGGAGAGAGAAACATTGATGTGAGAAAGACACATTGAGGGGCTGCCACCCACATGACCCCAACTGGGGCCAGGGACAAACTGCAACCAAAGTACGTGCCCTTAGCGGAAACCGAACCCAGGACTCTCCAGTCCATGGGCCAACGCTCCCATCGCTGAGCCAAACCGGCCAGGGTGAGAAACATCAATGTATTGTTCCACTTGCTTATGCATTCATTGGTTGATTCTTGTATGCCCTGACCTAGGATCAAACTTGCAACCTTGGTTGATCACAATGACATCTAACCAACTGCCTGGCCAGGGCTGAAACTACAATACTTTATGTTTTTGGATAACTATGCCAAAACGAGAAATTCCTGTCTCTAGATCCTGTTATTAAACTGGTTTCAAACATGACAATCATACTTGTTCACATTTGCACTGTAGAACAGCTTTCACAGAAAATTACTCTGAATTGGTCATTTGGAAAAATAAGAGTATGTCTCTGTGTGTATAGGAGCAAAGCTAATGCTTTATCTACCATCAGTCCTGTGAAACTTCCACTCTGCTGGGTATATCTAAAAACAGCTCAGCCTTTCTTCTGTTCATTTTATAGGCTACAGCAAATAGGTTACCTACAAACAAGGCCCTCCTACCTGCTAAGTCTTCCTACAAGGCCTTTATATACACTAACAAAAATCCATGGGGACATGGACAGTCTTTTTCTTTCCATGGCCATCCCTTCCCATTAGAATTAGTTTATCTTAGCCAAAACACTGAAGAAAACCTTATGTGGCTGGTTTACTTAAAGGACTACCTAAGATCCAATTTACAAATCATTCTCATGAAGTCACCTTAACTTTATTTATTTACTTATTTTAATCCTCACCTGAGGATATTTTTCTATTTATCTTCAGCTAGAATGAGAGGGAGAGAGAGGAAGAGAAAGGGAGAGAGAGAGAAAGATCAGCATGAGAGGGACACATCAACTGGTTGCCTCCCGCATGATCCTGACCAAAGTTGGGGATGAACTACAATTGAGGTACATGCCCTTGGCTAGAATTGAACCTGCGACTCATTGGTTCGCGGGCTGATGACACTCCACTGCTGAGCCAAACCAGCCAAGGCTCACCTTCACTTTTAATTTTTTATTGCTGTTGTTAATTCTCACCTGAGAATATTTTTCCATTAATTTAGATAGAGTGGAGGAGGGTGGAGAGAGAGTGAGGGAGAAAGAAACATCAATTTGAGAGAGAGGCAATCCAGGTACATGCCCTTGACTGGAATTCAAACCCATGACCCTTCAGTCCAAGGGCCAACGCTCTAACCACTAAGCAAAACCGACGAGGGCGATAACTTTACATTTTTAAGCCATTAAATGTGTTTAGCCTAGAATATATGGTTACTATAAAAGAACAGATACCCCCCCCCAACATGATCATAGGAACATCCTGGCAAATGAGACAGCATGCACAAGACAAAAATTACACATAAAACCCAAACCCTCACCTTTGCTCTGAGGAGGGTTTTGGCTCCTATCCCTTAGGACGTTGATTTCATAGACAGCACCATACTGTTCAAAGAGTTCCCTCAAGTCCTTCTCAGACCAGGTCCTCGGAACCTGGCCCACAAACATCTTGATAGCATCAAGATCCGGTTGGTCTGGGTGGTCCAGGGTGCCGTTCATTTTCTTTGAGCTGCATTAGATAAAATAAAACTACTATTATATATTCATGCTGCTTTCCAGGTGGCGTTTTCTTTGCTTTCAAGATCTCAACTACTTCAAGGGAAAATGGGGGGGGGGGGGGGGGGATACTTCCTTTCATGACTTTCATTCAATTTACCAGAGTTCCCTGGTCCACCCTCACCATGGCCACCCCCTCCCATTAGAATTAGATCCCAAACTAAAGTCAGCATTCTGATTAGGATACTCTAGGTTTTAATTAAGAAACTCACTTATTCCTTGTCTAGCATGAGAATTCTCAGAACTTAAAATGTCCATAAAATCACAAATGACTATTAATTATGAATAAAATTCAGGACTCTCAATAATAATGATAGATAATAAAGTTTTCTTTCAGTAGACATTAGAACAGAAGCACTTGATTTCCAAGGTCAAAGCTAAGGGCTGACTAGAATGCTGGTCTTTGAATGTGGCTGTCTCATGTGCTGCTAAGCCTTGTGCTCTTGAGGCAGGCCCCCAGACCAAAACAAGACTTTGCCTCTTAAACTCTAAAAATGATTGTTACATAAACAAACAATGATGTCATCTTTCGAGGTTTGTACTGTTTCTAAGTTATCCGATTTGATGTTATTTTTTTTCCAAGACTTTAGCAGTTCATTCCCTTACCAACTGCAACTATTACAATGTCAACAAATTCCTCCATTCCTATCACACCAAACTGTTCATACTTTAATTCCTTCATTGCTACCCCTGCAATTACCAAGAATCTAGGGGGAATTCTTGCACTCAATATTTCTACCACTCAAAGTAAGTCAAAGACCTTCCCTACCACTGTTTTAAGATCTTATCTACAGCAGTTAACAACTAAAGAGCCATCATAATGAACTTTCCTGTTAGTGTTTCCTGCTTGAAATCCAGAATCACATCATCATATTCAAATTTGCCATGCTTTAATATCTAATCCTAAATAAAATAATAGTTTTCATTAAAGGAAACACAAGTTCTTACACCACTGCTATCTTTTGAATAATATTTGAAGATTACTGAGAATTATGAGTCTATGAAAGCAGCTCAACCACTGTCTCTTAATTCCTAAATCTCTTGGGTCTTCCATCAAGATGGTGGTGTAGCCCTGGCCAGTTTGGCTCAGTGGTTAGAGCGTTGGCCTGTGGTCCGGAGAGACCCGGGTTCGGTTCCCGATAGGGGCACGTACTTCGGTTGCGGTTTGTCCCCGGCCCTGGTTGGTCGTGCGGGTGGCAGCCACTCGATGTGTCCCTTCACATCGATGTTTCTCTCTCTCTCCCTTCCTCTCTCTCCCTCCCACTCTATCTGTACAAAAAATGGAAAAATATCCTCGAGTGAGGATAAAAAAAAAAAGATGGTGGTGTAGGTAAAGTGGCACTCACCTCCTTCCACAACCAAATCTAAACTACAGAAGAACCAGTTGTAAGAATGGAAGTCTTACAACTATGAAATTAAAAAATCCACAATGAGCCCTGGCCGGTTTGGCTCAGCGGTTGGAGCATCGGCCTGCGGACCAGAGAGTCCCAGGTTCAGTTCCCTCTAGGGGCACATACCCCTCCCCGCCAAATAAAGCCACAATGAGACTGCAATCAAGACTCAATTACAACAGAAGGGTGGACAGTCCACATGAGGGGTGCACCTCAAGGGCCCCACTGGGGTGACTAGGGAGGCTGTGCCACTGGACCCTACAGGACACCTACTACAATAGGCCATCCTAGGAGGCCTAGCAACTCTACCTAATACATAGAATCAAAAGAAATTTTGCAGGCCAGAAAGAGTAGCAAGAGATATTCAAAGAGATGAAAAACAACAACCTATAACCAAGATTACTCTATCCTGCAAAGCTATCATTTAGAATTGATGGACATATAAAGAGTTTCCCAGACAAGAAAAAGCTAAAGGAGTTAATCACCACCAAACCAGTATTATATGAAATGTTGAGGGGTCTTCTTGAAGAAGAGGAAGAACAAAAATATGAATAAAAGAACAAAAATATGACAATAAATACATATCTATCAACAACTGAATCTACAAACAAAATGAGCAAACAGTACAGAAACACACTCATAGATACAAAGAACTTTTTGTTGGTTGCCAGATGGGAGGGGCTGCAGGGGGGTGGGTGAAAAAGGTGAAGGAGTTAAGAAGTACAAATTAGTTGTTAGAATGATGAATCTCATAAGGAATGGGGGAAGGCGGGAAGAGATAAACCAAAGAACTATATGCATATATGCATAACCAATGGACACAGACAATAGTGTGGAGAAGGCAGGAGCGAGGAAGGTATGAGGAGGAGGAGTTCAAAGAGGGAAAAAAGAGAGGACATCTGTAATAAGTTCAACAATAAAGTTTAAAAAGAAAAAAAAATCCGAAATTGTAACTAAACACTCAACAAGGGCTATTCTCACATCACCTTTATAGAACCCAGCATTAACTTATTATCAAAAGCTGTTCAGACAAATGGCATACAGACCAACTCTTGTCGTTATGTCTGTAGAGATTCCCCATACTACAGATCTTAGTCTAGAGCTCCTTGAATGCAGAAACTGTTTTCCTATTCATTCTTTTAGCCACATCTGGTATAGTGCCTGGTTCAAAGTAAGTACATACTCAACTTGGGATAGAAGAATTTCTTGTTCTCAACAATTCCCCTATTCAAGCAACTAACAGTGATAAAAATGAATGCTGTGCATAAAGAGGGCTCACAAATTAAGAGCAGCTATTATCTTCTATGATTACTTGATTGTCACAGGAACAAACTACCTGTATTAGAGGGTCAAGGGAGCCATATATATGGTGACAGAAGATGATCTGACTTTGGATGATGGGCTCACAATGCAATATATAGATCATGTATCATAGAAATCTACACCTGAAACCTATATTATCTTGTTAACCAGCGTCACATCATCCCAATACATTTAATTAAAAAATTTAAAAAATGCACTATGACTAGTGAAACAATGAGTGTCATTCTCTATGACCTCTCCAAACAACTTTAATTACCAATTTTAATATAATATTTTATTAAAATGTTGCTAATATGCCATCGTATTTCTATTCTAGGGAGGGTTAACATAGACTCCCAATGGTGCTCAGAATATTTTGGTGATAAGGAAGCTGACAGCTATTTTGGAAAACAGGCAGGGTTTTATTAACTTGCATTATATTGGAGGCAACTGCTTTCAGTTTGTCCCTTCCATCTGTATTTGTGTGCCATTTCTAAACTTTATACATCACTGTTTACTGCAAAAGCATTAACACAGTCAGCACATGGATTGTGGTTTATCCAAAAGTTCAGTGGAGACTCAGCATTCCATACAAATGCTCTTCCTTTCTCTCTTTACTCTGGGAATCTTTCTCCATGTCTTCATTCCACCTAATCCATGAACATCCCAATCCCAATCCCAATCCCAATCCCAATTCATTAGAAGAATCCCCAAGAGCAGTGCTGCTCAAAATGCCCAAGGACCAGGGACAATAGTCAAACTTAACTCCTTAAAAAAAAATTTTTTTTCTTTATTGATATTAGAGAGAGAAAGGGAGAGGGAGAGATAGAAACATCAATGAGCCCTGGCCGGTTTGGTTCAGCGGTTAGAACGTCGGCCTGCGGTCCTGAGAGACCCGGGTTCGGTTCCCGCTAAGGGCGCGTACCTCGGTTGCAGTTTGTCCCCGGCCCTGGTCGGTTGTGCGGGTAGCAGCCACTCAATGTGTTCCTTTCACATTGATGTTTCTCTCTCTTTCTCTCTCTCTGTTCCTCTCTCTCCCTCCCACTCTACCTGAACAAAAAATGGAAAAATGTCCTCGGGTGAGGATAAAAAAAAAAAAGAAACATCAATGAGAGAGAACACTGATTGGCCACCTCCTGCTTGCCCCCACACTGGGGATCAGGCCCACAACTGGGGCATGTGCCCTGACCAAGAACTGAACTGGCAACCTCTTGGTGCATGGGTTGATGCTCAACTACTGAGCCACACTGGCTGGGCTCAAACTTAACTCTTTAGAAACTTTTACAGCAATTGGACCAAATAATTTTGTAAATGTTAAATCTAATAAAAAAGATACACAAAATGCAAATTTACACCTTATTTTGTTTTCTATTCAATTGTTTTTTTCTGTATTTTACAAGTTGAGAGTAGGGGAGACAGGATCCAGTCTTTCACCAGTTTGAGAAACACTTCTAGACTAGAGCAAATTATTGGGCCAGGCTCATGATGCTGTGGATATCATGGAACTGAAGTTGTCCACTGGCTTGTTTCTTCCCCCAATAAATACTGGGTACTTACATAAGCCAGTCGCTGTGTTAGATGAATAAGAAAAATATTTGTTCAGAGAGCATGAAAACAGAGTTAGAAATAAAAGTAACATCAACTAGAGATAATCTAGAAAAGGGAGAAGCAACCACATGTATACCTATGTATCTGTAATAAGCAGTCACAAACTTTCTCAACTATTGCTGTGTCTGAAGAGATGAGCAACAATGCCTTTCCATCCGCAACCTTCCATGTATACTTCCAGTATGTATATGTTGTCTGTAGTTAAAAGTAATCACTGCATTAAAAAAGTCACCTGGGCCCTGGCTGGTTTGGCTCAGCGGTTGGAGCGTTGGCCTGCGGTCCAGGGAGACCCGGGTTCGGTTCCCGCTAAGGGCATGTATCTCGGTTGCAGTTTGTCCCCGGCCCTGGTTGGGTCCTGCGGGTGGCAGCCACTCAATGTGTCCCTTTCATGTTGATGGTTCTCTCTCTCTCCCTCCCGCTCTGTCTGAACAAAAAATGGAAAAATGTGCTCAGGTGAAGATTAAAAAAAAAAGTCACCTGGGACAAGATGCCCAGTGTGATATGCCAAGGATCCCATATCATTGAGGTATGACATTTACTGTACATATCACTAAATCCATTCTTAAATCTGTGCCTTACCTCCCACTGATGGAGAACTCCTTAGGGTCAGTGATGATGAATTATGTGTATGTATTACACCTACTCAACAGCC